TAAAAAATACCTGTCTAAAAAGATCTATCCCAGAATTATTGATTCTTATTTTAAGAGACTATTATTTAGCACCCCAGACTTGTTTCTCAATATAATAGAATATTACCTAGACCTCAAATAGTTACGTCTCTCTATTAAATTTACAAAATATTGCTTCCAATATGGTTCTTTGAGCAAGGTAAGGATCTATGCTATTTTCTAGCCAATATCTTTGGAGAAGCCAAGTGTGCCAGAGCAGGTGCTCCAAGCTCAAGGGTTTGCAGTACTTCCTACTTTAACTGACCTGCGGCAGTCATTTTGCTAAAAAAGCAGGTAACACAAAGTAGCATCCAATCTGCAGGTCCCACTGTCATCACCCACTACGTGGCACAGTTTGGTGTTGTACTGGCATGGAGACTGTCCTTAGTACTCTGACTGTACTTGAAGGACTACTTATCCACCTGAAATAAAAAAAAACAGTTAAGGACATTCAAAAAATCAACAAATGCATGTTTCTGTTAGTACTCCAAGAAATCATTGCATTGTCTTCAGCCAATTGTGAATATTTATCCTAACATAACTGGAAAGTCTGTCATTATTTCAATTAAGTAATTTAGTGAGAAACAACAGCAATGATCAAAACCAGCTATTTCCTATTCATTATCTCTTTCACTCTTCAGATGATTGCTTTGCCACAATGTAAATATAAAAACTGAGATTCCAGGTATTTGTGTAAAACAGATTAATAAGAGATAATTCAGTGTTATGTATTTGTTCCTAAACCAAAGTAAGGATTTTGAGGAAATTAGGAAAGAAAAAGGTATGACAGAAATCTGAAACTATAGAGATCAGAAAGGAAACATTGGGGTTGGGGTGTAGTTCAGTGGGTAGAGTGTGTGTTTGGCATGTATGAGCTCTGGATTCAATTCCAACATACCTCCCCAAAAAAAGTCAGAAGGAAAACACTGGCAAGCTCCAATTAAAGACTTAGTTCCTGGAACTCAGATGTGATTATTTAATGGTAACTATTACACCTTAAATATGATTCATGAAATAGTGACCTTAAACCTATTTGGGGGCTGGGTGGAGCTCAAGTGGTAGCGCCTGCCTAACAAGCACGAGACCTGAGTTCAAATCCTAGTACCACCCAAAAAAGGCAACTAAACCTATTTGTAAGGCCAAAAACAAATATTCTAAAATCAAAAAAGTAGCAAAGACAGGAAGAAAGGGAAATGACAGATGGAGAGAGCCCAATAAAGAGATCATACAATAAATTTGTAACAGTAATGATGAAGCACATTTAAAAAAATCATTTATAAGCCAAGTGTGATGGTACACAGCCATAATCCCAGCAATTTGGGAGGACACCGGAGGACTGGATTGAGTTTTAGACCAACCTGGGCAAAGTTAGTGAGACCCTATCTCAGAACAAACTACAAACAAAAGGCTAGGGATTAAGAGGTAGAGTGCTTGCCTAGCAGGGTGAGGCCCTCAGTTCAATCACCAGTACCGAAAAAAAATCATTTGTAGATGATAAAAATTCAGAAGACTGGAATTGATTTATATTTAGATTTGTTCGTGCCTGGTGAACAGTCACTTTATGAATCTGGACACCATGATCCTTCTAATAAAACAATCTGATCTATCCAGATAAGTGATCAATGTGTCAACATGTGTCACAATTCTCCTATATAAAACAATTTTAGTAAAATACTTTCATATGCTAGAAAACATCATGAACTCAAAAGATAAATGGTAGACTGCTAAAAAATATTTACAATGCTTGTAACAAAGGATTAGTGTCCACATTGTGTAATAATACCTCAGTAGGAAATAGACAACCTAAAATAAAAATAGGCAAAGTACCTAGTAGGCAATTCGCCAATGAGGAAATGCAAATCTTCAATCCATATATGAAGGAATGCTTGACTTCAACCGTGGCCAGAAAATGCAATTTACTGCAAGTCCAAGATCCCTTATCTCCAATCCTAAAATTTAAAATGCTTTGAAAATATTTTTTCACTTAACACATCAAAACTCATTTGGTGGGCTGGGGGCATGGCTCAAGTGGTAGAGTCCCTGCCTAGCAAGTTCAAACTCTGGTACCAGAAAAGAAAAAAACACTTATTTGGTGGCAACATCAGTTTCAAATTGACATAGGGTTATTTACAGACTTTATTCCATTTAGTATGAAAAGGCATGTTTCCCTACAGAGATATATATGGTTCTGTCCTGGACCCACTGAAGGCATTATATATATGCACTGACATGCACCATACTACCTTTTTAAAATCTGAAAAATTCTTAATTCTAAAATTAATCTGGTCATGAGGTTTCAGATGAGGTGTTTTAGACCTGTATCATCTTTTACCTAGTATACATAATTACAGGTAATGACAGACAAAGCCCATTTAAGAAATCATTTGTAAGAAGGGTGAAAAAAAGACTAAGGAAACATCCTAGTAACTGGGTTTGAGACTGTGAATATTTCCTCAGCCTGTTTTTCCAAATTTTTCTACAATAAATAGAGTTGAGTATTTGTGAAACTGAAAAAACAAAACAAGCTATGATGCATGCCCAACAGGTAAAGAGATCGTTATTGATGTGTTTTTGTTTGAGAAGTTGTTACTAACACCATACCTGTCTGATCATGCAGTGTAGCAGTCCCCTCATTAGCTTCACTACACTCTGTAGAAATAAATGGAAACAAGACTGTTATAAACATCCAGAGACACGAGAACACTTACTCAGCAACTACAGTTGGTGCATGACCTTTTGAGAACAAGTAACCCTATCCTGGGTTCTATTTACATGGCATTTACTTTATAGGTACACAGAAGAGCAAATTGCAGCTAAAAGTGGAATCAAAGCCTATAATCTGTGATTCCTTCAAGTTAAAAAAATAATAATGCAAGATTTGGCAGGTTTATGTAAGAATAAGCCAACCATCCTAGCAGAGGACAATCCACCAGGAAAAAAGGGACAAGTCAGCTCAAAAATCTTAAGGCTCTAAGGTTATTCTAAAATATATCCTATGGCCTTTTATCTTTTCTGAACTAGCCAAGACTTAAGATTCCACAGAAATATTTTTCTGGACATTTTTTCTAAATAATAAAGTGAATTACAAGTCAGAGTAAGTATAAATGGGAATTGCTAGTATGACTTAACACTTTCTCCATGAAAAACTGTCACAAACTTTTTAAGTCTCAAGTCAGTACTATTTCTCTTACTACGGCATGGCAATTTCTAAATCATAACA